TGGGCCAGAGGGACACCAGGCCCCCCCCCCCCTGCTATGGACAGGCGTATCTCATCGCAACTCTCAAGGGGAACTTCACAGCACTTCGTTCTCGCTGTCCCTATTCGTTCCTTGTCAACAAGTGTTACCACCACCCCCGTTACAAGTCAGTCCGATCCAATTTTTACTTTTTTGCTTTACTTTTTGCATAATTCATGAACATCTTTTGGTGGGTTCGCCTCCATGCCAGTCACATGCCCACTCCTCAGGCCAAGAGTGATTTTTCTCGGACTTCGTAGTCTGACTGATCTAAGATTTCCCCAGACTCGCTGCACGCTTGGCCGTGACGCTCAGCTGGCCCCTTCTGGATGGCCATTTTTAACATAGTAAATGTGCGAGGGGGCTCGTATTTTCTCCTGCCTCTTTAAGTGTTGTGATGTTTAGCCAATCCATGGTTAATCATCAGGCGAGACTTGAGTTTGTTGAGGGTGTTAAGGTGTGCTCCACATCTGTCACCTACCTGTGAGTTCTAATACGGTTGTGGTTGACCTCCCGTCAATCACGCACTGAAACAAGTTTCCTTCATTTTAATTCTAGTATTTTCCTTTTACCCTTTGTGCCACCCGCCATGATGTACTGTGGTGTGTGTAATCAGTGTGCCAAAGTTCTACCGTCTACTGATCTCTTTATGCCTCTCGTAGCGTGTTGAGTATTATATCTGCATCAATTATGCTCACTTCTAACGCTTTCTGTATGTGTGACCCATTCGCGTGGTCGATTCCTACACGTGCAGAAAGCACCACTGTTCATATTATTTTATAAAACACGAACTAAAACATCCGCAGTCATCTTTAAGTTTAAGATGATACAAAAATCCTAAGTAACCATTGAATGTGTAATATACTTGACCGTATTCCGTTGGACTCGGCACATCTATTCTGTCAATGTAATCTTTCATCAGATACGCTGGGCCGAGAACCAGATTGTACCAACCTAGAGTTAGGTACCCTTGATCGTATACAGAAAAACTATTATAATAAACTTAAACCTCTTTATCACGAAAAATTGCAATGTTTAAATATGTCATTGCATCGGGTTCCTTTAATATTTTTTTTCCTTTTTTGTATAAGCGCAACTTTAATACTTTGGGCATGTTCTTATATTGGGTGTGTTGCTCTCTGATAAACACCAAACTTGGCCACGTGAAACGTTGCAAGTCAACACACGCACTTAGTCGATACTTTGCGAGGGTTCAGTGCATGAAAGGGACAGTGTTTCTACCCAAAAGATTAATTTCAACCAACCACTTGACTTGCATTCGTTCTTAAATGAACCACAACGTGGGACTAAATATACGTTTATGACGTGGTGATGGGGGGGGGGGGGGGGGGGGGGTATTCATTTGAGTAATCAATTGACGTAATTTTGGCATTAAATGGTACTTCCAAGAAACAAACTTTATCACACAAGATTATCCCCATCAAAACGATAGTTCAGTCAATACTATTGACAATATACGCCATTCAAAACACAGCCGGGTTAGACAGTACAATCACACCACACACTAGGGGAGCACACACAGTCACATAGCACATGAGCTGCGGGACGGGGAGGGCCGACTACATAACCAATACTGTGGACAGGTGACGGGCGACGTCATACCATCAGAGAGGGGAGGCCACTTCACATCTACACATTACACAGACTACTGACACACTCGTATGACAAATCTGACACTGACAAAAGTCACAATTTGTAGACACGTGACGTTACTAAATACTGACAAACAAGCCTGACGTAAATATGACAAATCTCAAGACAAAACGTACAGTATGGAAAGCAGAAAAAAAGAGGCCATGAGTAAACTATTCGGCGAACGTCCATGAAAACAGTTATAGACAGACAGAGCTGTACAATTCAAATCTTTCAAAAGAACACGTAGCTTTCCAGTACCAGGACTACAAGCCGATTAAGTACACACAATAGTAGGACATTGAATATAAAAATACAAGTCGTCTGAACCAGATGTAACGGCCGAATTCTACTATCAATTTTAACCCCTTCATCTGAACATGTCAGTTCAACAGGAAGCAAATGAACAGCCTGACATATCACTCGCGCACAATCACACGTGCGCACAATCAATCACACTCACTCACAATCAATCACACTCACTCACAATCAATCACACTCACTCACAATCAATCACACTCACTCACAATCAATCACACTCACTCACAATCAATCACACTCACTCACAATCAATCACACTCACTCATTGTCAATCACACTCACAATTAATCACACTACTCTCAATCACACTACTCTCAATTAATCACACTACTCACAATTAATCACACTACTCACAATTAATCACACTACTCACAATTAATCACACTACTCACAATTAATCACACTACTCACAATTAATCACACTACTCACAATTAATCACACTACTCACAATTAATCACACTACTCGTAATTAATCACACTCACTCACAATTAATCAAACACAATTAATCACACTCACTCGCAATTAAGCACACTCACACGTCACCACTCATAACCCATGGCAGCAACAATTACTCAAAACTGCTTATCAATCGCACCAACTCGACACATTGTACAAAATACCCATACAAACTATCCATACAATACATGCCCTTACACATGCACGAAGCGCAACAATGCAGGAACACAAAACGTAGCATACGAGACAGTGTTGAATGTTCAGATTAAAACAAAGTCAAGCATCAACAAAAGAATGTGTGAACTACACATTTAGCACCAACACAAATAGTCCTGTCGGGCGCTAGTGCTAATCATCCCCACTCATGCATGTCTAAGCGCTGGAAGAAAGCCAACTTTAGGGAATGATACATTCACGGGATTTAGTTTTATCGAAAAATATCAAGGACTGCATCATTGTCAAGAAAACCCTGACGATGCCACAATTCTACGTGAACAAAAAAACAACCGTAAATCAAAACGCATTTTCCCGTATACAAGCTGATCAAGAACTAAGGCTATGCGGCTTGATAATCCAGACTCAACGTCTTTTGGACTAAACTGTTGAAAATAATACTAAAGATAATGACACAGACGCATGATGTGCAGTAATGATCGCTTCAAGCCAACTGGTACTCATCAATACGAACTAAGTTCTGAAATACTGAACTTGAATTTTAAATCAACCTTTGGAATCAATTCTACCGATGGAAAACTGCTGTTGAGTGACAGATTTAAGCCGTGTTACCACACTGTAGAATGTGCTACGTAATCTAGCCACATCACCCTTCGATGTTGCCACATCTGGCCACATCAACTGTAGATGTCGCCACTACATCGTGACATCTTGTCACATCCCATGTGGATGTCGCCACGTCATCGAACTACATAACCCGTGGATCATGCCACCACACCGTGGCATCTAGCCACACCCCATTGATGAAGCTACATGACATCTAGCCACACCCCATTGATGAAGCTACATGGCATCTCGCCACACCCCATGGATGAAGCTACATGACATCTAGCCTCACCCCATCAATGAAGCTACATGACATCTAGCCACACCCCATCAATGAAGCTACATGACATCTAGCCACACCCCATCAATGAAGCTACATGACATCTAGCCACACCCCATCAATGAAGCTACATGACATCTAGCCTCACCCCATCAATGAAGCTACATGACATCTAGCCACACCCCATGGATGAAGCTACATGACATCTCGCTAGGATGAAGCTACATGACATCTAGCCACACAGTGAGTACTTACTCTCTATTTACTTAATAATTATAACACAATTTGTTCTGTAAATATTACTTTACAGTGTATTAATTTTAACGATGCACCGGTAAGCATTTGTAAGCATTATTGCTGTAGTAACATTTTTACTAAAGATTGTTAGTACACATCAAAAACAAAGTCAAGCATTTAAAAAAAAAAATTAACTACACATTTAGCTCCATCATTAGCGTTTTTCTGCAGTTTAAGAATGTTAGGGTCATATTTTTTAAAAAGTTTTTATGAGGAGTAGGGTGGGGGTAGGTTAGCGGTACAGGCAAAAACATGTATCATGCCAATGTTTTACTAGAAACCCGCACAGTATATGTCGAGAAATACAAAAAAGCTTGTTTTTTATACATCAAACAAATAAATCAACACATTTTAAAGAGTTTACCTCGTATGTAGTTTCTCCTATCCCACGTGAATTTGTAGCAAACAATACTATTACTAGAGTTGGAAAGTAGAGTACGGCAAGAAACTCCATGGTTATTCTTCAAGCACAGGTTTAAACTAAGCAAACATTAAATATCTAAATATACGTCCGCCTTGTAGAAAGAACACTAATTACCACGTATTCGAAGTACTTTTCACTTTTTAATGTAGGTTCAATATCTGAGTGAATACATTTTAGTTATTGCACATTACATTCTGCATTGCTGTTTTCCATTTCTTAGTACATTACGGAAGTAGCCGGTCTCTTCAAGTGAAATGCTCATTTGTGCAGCTATCGTCCTTGTATGATATTGCGCACCGTTAACACGGAGATGCGCAAGATGTTTAATGCTAACAAAGATCCATAATATAGTAGGCTTAGATTTGTATTACTCAAGGATAATATGCGCACATAGCAAAGCAAATATACAAATTTATTCAAATTTATTCAAATTTATTCAAATTCAAATTTATTCAAACAACGGTTACAATTGTAGGCACAAAGGCCTTTTTTCACATTGGCCGTTTATTACTTAAAAGTAATTTCATAATGAACACATTACCGCAAATATTTCACAAATGCATATGTTACAGACGTTTTTTTTTTTTTCGATTATCTATATTTAGGTATATTGGAACTTAAGTGCAAACCAGACTACACACTCGCCCTAATTACATAGATTAGCATTCGATAAAACAGCCAATACTCAATGTCTGATTCAGTAAATGTACACACCGCTATGCTAATCGTCTGAATATTAACACTCATTAGTCTTGTATAGAGAAGAATGGGAAGATTTAGGGACATGAAACTTGCTAGCACTATTGGATACTAGAGGGAGTTTTGCCTACTCGAAGTTACAGGTTAGTTGGTTTGTAAGTAAAGTTTGTGAGTAGGGGTTTGATTCCGTTGGCTTAAAGGTGCAGTATAACAGTTAAGGTTATTCATAAGGAAAGCCATGATGTGGAGTTAATTCTAGGCACTGTTATAAGATTTTTTTGTTCTGATGTTTGGCTAGGGTTGCTTATAAGTGGCTTTATAGCCAAGCAATTTCCATCAATTAAAAATACCTAATGTATATGTAGTGTTTATGGTGGAGGGCTTATGGTGTTGTGAGTAAAATATCAATTAAACTTCTACACTTGTTTAAAACATTTACCACTATTTCTCACATGTAGAGCATAGAGTTTAACCTGGTCGAACAGATGGTTTTACTGTGGCTGTACTTGCTGGTGTCTGGGCTGTCTGTTGTCCACACATGGCCAGTTGATGATGGGATGATGGGCCAAATGGACGAGGACAGAGATGGACGACTGAACTACGAGGAACTGATGTCATATGTTATGGTCAGTTCCTTTTTTGTAATGTTGTTTATAGGATAGGAGTTTGCTTGCTAACTAATGGACTGTTTTTATACTAGGTGGTTGTTAATGAACAAGTACATGGTTTTAGATGTAATCATTTACTGTAAATTTACAGTGTGGTTAGACGGTTGTTGTACAATATAGTGGTGTACACTATAGTGTTGTACAATATAGTGGTGTACACTATAGTGGTGTACACTATAGTGGTGTACACTATAGTGGTGTACACTATAGTGGTGTACACTATAGTGGTGTACACTATAGTGGTGTACACTATAGTGGTGTACAGTATAGTGGTACAGTATAGTGGTGTACCAGATAGTCATACAGTGGGTGCTTGTCCTACAAATGTTGTGGCTTGCTCCAAGTCTTATATGAAGTGTTCTGTCTTGATTCAAATGTTGTGTTATGTCTTGGTCCCACAGGCCTACGACCAAGATGGCAGCAGTGGCTTATCCCAGGACGAGTACCAGTCCATGACGAGGGCGAGGGCCCCAAGTTTGCTCGGCTACTCGGGTCTGTTGTTCAACCTGTTTGACGCCAACAGAGACGAGATACTGGACCAAGTGGACATGCTGGGCCTGTTCAACACCATGGACTCGGACAGTGATTCGCTGGTCAACAGGATAGAGATGATCAGGTGAGCGTGTTAAAGTGTGTTGTTTTTGGTACGTCTCATTATTTAAATGTGAAACTGGTGTACATGTATCATGGGAGTCGTTTTAATTTGCTTTGATATTGAATGTAATTTCAAATGACTTTTTCGCAGCATTCGATGTCTGTATGAGATGCTTCAGAGCATCAAGTGTTCTTTTGTCTCTGCATGCATATTAATGACTGTAATACCAGACAACAGAATCATCTTTTTAAATCTAATATTTTATCTTTTTTTCCTACACAGGTTTGCATCGGATGTCTTAAGAAAACTGACCAGTCATCGCTAGCTGTACACTTGACGCCTGGGTTATAGGAAGTTTCATTAAAAGCCTGCAGTCTAGTCCAGTGTTGTCAGCAGACACAAGTGACATTATGATGTTACAAAATGTAATCGTTTTTAATCTCCGCAATAAACTCATTGAAATTGAACTGTTTTTTTTATTATTAAAGTTGTTTTAGATGTTGGAATGATTCTTATCATCCTTAGCAATACTGGGAGATGATTGTATGTTTCTGTAACTTGAGGCAAACTTAAATAGTCATAAATGGAGTGGTACAGCACTTGATAGGTGACTCTAAGGTATCTGGCTGGTTTTCTGGCTAGAGTATACCTTGTACCTGTGTCGAACAAAGTACAATAGGTACACCAGGCTAAGCAGGTGAACTGTTTGAGACCCACAAGCTTTACACAGCTGGATCTATGGGGTAAAGTACAGGAATGGTTGTACACAGCTAGTGACCTGTGTAGTTAGGTATTTGAGTTGAATGATCGTACAGCGATGGTCACCATCCTTGGGGAAAGGGCAACAAATATGAAAAATATAATGAAACATTAGAGACATTTATTTTTGAAAGCATGAACACTGATATGGGGAAATCCTTTGTGCTAAGATGTAATGTTCACATACGTACTGCTAAAAGTAATATGCGAAGCTTGTACACATACACGTCTTTGTTGCACAAGGGATTTTCTCATTGACATTGTATTGCAAGTAGATTATACATCATTGAAAAAAAACACAATTCGTCATACGGGGATGTCGTTTTATTCCTACGATTTGGAAGTGGATACATTGCACTGATATATTAGACCATGCAGAAATTAGTTATGTTGATTTTATTTTGGGGACACAAGCTAGGCTACATCTGCCAGTACAGTAACTAAATACTGCATGTGGGTTTAGGGAAAAATAAAAGGGGGGGGGAGAAATATCATGTTAAGACAATATAACATGAGTTAATTTTTTTTCTACAAAATGGATGTGTTATTTAAGACTCACACAGCGTCCCGCGCAGTTGGATAAAACCACCCCTATAACATGAGATTAATCATTTTGTGTATAACAAAGTACCAAACATATTCGATGAACTGTCTTACCTAATGTACACGTGACAACCCGCCTTATTTTACCACACCACCATTTTAAGACAAAATTTATTCAGAACATACACAACTCAGCAATATGACCTTTTAGCCATACAAACGTTAATATCGATAACACAATTTACGCAAGTGTCAACGTGTGCAAGTAAACTTTGATGTTATAAAAACCCGTTTTAGGGTGTGATGACCTGCTTTACATTGTTACAACCCAGATCACCCGCTATAACAACCCACCTAGCATTATGTGACAACACATGTCACTTTCTGTGACAACACATGTCACTTTCTGTGACAACCCACCTCACCTAATGGGACAACCCACCTAACCTGCTGTGACAACCCACCTAACCTGTGACAACCCACCTCACCTGCTGTGACAACCCACCTCACCTGCTGTGACAACCCACCTCACCTAATGTGACAACCCACCTAACTTGATGTGACAACCCACCTCACCTGCTGTGACAACCCACCTCACCTAATGTGACAACCCACCTCACCTGATGTGACAACCCACCTAGCATTATGTGACAACCCACCTAGCATTATGTGACAACCCACCTAGCATTATGTGACAACCCACCTCACCTGCTGTGACAACCCACCTAGCATTATGTGACAACCCACCTAGCATTATGTGACAACCCGTCTGATCTTTGTGAACAACCTGAAACTTAATATTACACTTAAAATCAATAAAATTGCTTAAAGCAATAAGTCCCCCTCCCTTCTACTACCCCCCCCCCCCCCTCACACACACACACATACGGTGATATTTTGCTTGGCCTTTCCTTCAATAAAGATGCTAACAATAGATCCTTTCACTACCAAAAGGCTAAACCCAGTGAGTCCTTGTTATCTCAGGGTCCACTGTAGAATTGATCCCATTACCTTACACAGGCTACAATACCGCTGACTTGCAGAGAAAACAACGGAACGCGAGATCGATTTTATGTGTCTGAAGTCCGTCTAATTTTTTTTTAATTTTTGTTTTGATTCTTTCGATTCTAAACATTTTTCATTCATAAGACTGTTAAGAGGCTTAACGTTGAAGCTATGACGGCGATGATTTAGGCTTTCATTTAGTGCATGGGTTCGTTTCACAGCGGTTATCAAATTATGTCACTACGAGACACCACAGAAATGACATGACGGTCTATTTTATATATATATATATATATATATATATATATATATATATATATATATATATCCGCGGATTGGCCGGCTCTCTTGGCCAAAGCCCGAAGAACTTAGCACTAAGATTGTATTTCGTACATTGGCCGGCCAATGCGCGCACTGGCCGGGACGTACTGGCCAAAGTCCGAAGCGCTTAAACTTGACAGCGTATTTTGTACATTTGCCGGCCAATGCGCGCACTGGCCGGGATGTCCTGGCCAATGTTCTATCTAGACTAAGTTGTGATCGCATTTTCATTATTCTTGGTGCGTTTTCATTGCGAGTAACGTATTGTTTAGCTCTTGTTTGTATAGCATTCTATATGCAAGGCGACATGGATCAAAAGGGCCGTCAGACCATGAGACAGACATAGCAGATGGCTGTCAAAAGAAAAAAAAATTTAAATCCATGTTAGTTTCCATATATGGGCTCTCGATAAAATAGTTACTGAGGAAGATCTTGAGAACATCGAACAAGAAATGGAGGTTGCCATAAATGCAACGACATCCTCAGCTAACACATCTACTGCCGTGGCGGAACGCCTAGACCAGTTGCGTGACAATAATGTGGCCAACAGATTCTGTATAGTTTGTGAAAAACATTGTAGTGCAGCTCATTCTTGTGGATCCTGTGGCAACGATGTCCATGCTATGTGTGGAATACCCAATGAAGCAGACGAAGGGTACGGAGGGAACATTACCTGCAGATTGTGTCACAACAAACAAGACATCATGGAACACAGATCAGCAGCTCATACTGGCTTGCAAACTCAAGGTGCTAAGATGCTTAAAACATCAAATACAAAATTTAAAGATGGTGAAGTGGGTGACAATGTACGCATCCGTGTTCCAGATGTTAACAGAGGTCACGGTGATCCCCGAAGCGTGATTGCAGTTGTCATGAGCGTCGACATCGCTTTCTACAAGCTAGGAACGGAACGTGGTGTTCTAAAACAAATATATTCTAGAAGTGAGTTTTCAATTCTTCACGAAAAACTGCTCTTATTGTCGTCAGTTTGCACTGAGAAAAAATCACTACGAACCATCGCATCTTCACAATCATTGACTGGGGGCAAGGCTACACTCGCTGCAATTGCACAACTAAGTGCACAACAAATCGCTTCAAGTGTAAAAATAACAAGCTGCTATGTAATTCTAAATGCCATAAAAGTTCAACTTGTGGTAACAAATGATGATATTGATAGATTGAGACTATAGTAAAATTTGAATATTTCTGTCATTTACTTTAATTAATAATCAATAAAGACTTAATTTCATGATCCTTACGGCATTAAAAAAAAAACCAAAATCTGCTCATGATCTTCTAATTAAGACTTTGGCCGGTCCACCATGGCCAGTCCGCGGACTGGCCGGCCAAAGGCCGAAACGAAGAGCTATTTCAGACTTTGGCCGGTCCTTAATGGCCAGTCTGCGGATTGGCCGGCCAAAGGCCGAAATCAAGCAAAGTTTCGGACTTTGACCGACCTATGGGAGGCGATATTGGCCAATGCGCGGATTGGCCGGCCAATCCTAGCATTGGCCGACTTCGGGCTTTGACCGTAACATATATATATATATATATATAACATAATATATATAACATAATATATGTATATATATATATATATATATATATATATATATATATATATATATATATATATATATATATATATATATATATATATATAACATATATAATATATATATATTTGTTGCTTTTTCCCATTATTGACACCACTATATGCTATATATTATGTTATATATATATATATATATATATATATATATATATATATATATATATATATATATATATATATATAAAACATGTATAATATATATGTTGCTTTTATGGAAACCACTGCAGCTATTGCTGAAGTTAAAACGTGTTTTTGTTTTGATTAGATTTAACTTTTTAAAAAAATAATAATCTTTAATATCGGACTGAAAGGCTGGTGGCACTTAGTGTGAGTACACATTCTGTACGTGCTGGCTCAGCCTTCTCACGTTCCACGTGTTTCGTGTCATCCATGAGCTAGCAGGAACGAAAATTTCTCCTTAAACACTTGCCTTACTTTATTAGGATATTTTCAAGTAGGTATGTGCGTCTGTAAGTCTTTTGAAGCGTATATTGACATTTCTGTAATAACCGAAATATAATTTTCAATTATATTTATTTATGTACATTTTTGTGTGTTACTTGTACTTAATATATGTCTGTGTTTTTTCCTGTAATATTTGCGAGTTTACTTTTAAGTTTTCATATGAACTATCCCTCTTGATCACCATTTTATTCGCGCGCTCTCTCTCTCATATATATATATATATATATATATATATATATATATATATATATATATATATATATATATATATATGTATAGTTTTCATATATAGCATATGTATAGTTTTCATATATATATATATATATATATATATATATATATATATATATATATATATATATATATATATATATATATATATATATATGTATGTATATGTATAGTTTTCATATATATATATATATATATATATATATATATATATATATATATATATATATATATATATATATATATATATATATTCTCACATGACTAATACAGGTTATCTCTACTGAATTTGAACTTACATATGGGTAGTAAACATGGGATTCATTTGTTCTTAAATCCTGACAAGATTATCCCTGACAATGCGTTGCGTGGAATAACAGACAACATGCATAGCAAGTTAATAAAGGATGAACCGCTGCAC